GCACAATAGTATTCCATTACATTCATACACCAAATTTGTTCAGACATTCCCCAACTGATGAGCATCCCCTCAATTTCCAATTCTCTGTCACCACAAAAAGAGCTGCTGTAAGTATTTTTGTACATGTGGGTCCTTTTCCCATTTTTATGTTCTCTTTGGGATACAGACCTAGAAGTGGTATTGCTGGGTCAAAGGGTGTGCAGAATTTGGCTGCCCTTTGGGCATAATTCCAAATTGCTCTCCAGAACAGTTGGATCAGTTCACAACTCCACCAACAATGCATTAGTGTTCCCATTTTCCCACATCTTCTCCAACATTTATCAATCTGATAAGTATGAGGTGGTAGCTCAGAGTTGTTTTCATTTGCATTTCTCTAATCAATAATGATTTAGAGCATTTTTTCATATGACTATAGAGCTTTAATTTCTTCATCTGAAAACTGCCTGTTCATATCCTTTGACCATTTGCCAACTGAGGAATGACATGTATTCCTTAAATTTGACTTAGTTCTCTATATATTTTAGAAATGAGGCCTTTATCAGAGACACTTGCTGTAAAGATTGTTTCCCAACTTTCTGCTTTCCTTCTTTGCTGCACTGATTTTGTTTGTGCAAAAACTTTTTTAATTTAATGTAATCAAAATTATCCATTTTGCATTTTATAATGTTATCTATCTCTTGTTTGGTCATAAATTTTTCTGTTCTCCATAAGTCTTGACAGGTAAACTATTCCTTGCTCTCCTAATTTGCTTATGGTATCATCCCTTATGTCTAAATCCTGTATCCATTTTGACCTTATCTTGGTACAGGGTATGAGATGTTGGTCTATGCCTAGTTTCTGCAATACTGTTTTCTAGTTTTCCCAGCAGTTTTTGTCAAATAGTGAGGTCTTACCCCAAAAGCTGGAGTCTTTGGGTTTATCAAACAACAGATTACTATAATCATTTACTACTCTCTCCTGTTCCTATTCCACTAACCTATTCCACTGATCCACCACTCTTATTTCTTAGCCTGTAGTTTTAACGTCAATCTGTAATTATTGCTTCTGTTGTACCTAAGAGATTTACAAGAACACAATCAGTAGTTTTATTTTTATTTGCTTTCTGACCTTCAGCAAAAAACAAAATTAATAACAAGGTGGTTCTGATTTTTTGGAGAACAATTTGAGGGAGACACATTAAGCATATCCAGGATTAAACAGTCTTATTCTATGTGAAAGAATACATAGTAAAGTCTGCAAAAATGCAGAAATTACTCAAAGTAGTCAAAACTAGCTACTTCTTTTCCTTTATTTCCTTCAATGTCTTACTCTGTCCACTCCCACCCTGAACTAACAAAATGAAAGACTGATCATATGTGTTGTAAAGGCCTTAGACAACCTCAAGATGAAAAGAAATCTAGTGTTCATTCAATGGAATTAACTTGATGCTATCTCATCCTCAACCTTCTTTCCATTTGGGTCACATTATTAATACAAATATACATTAATGGCATTTCATATATCTCACTGTTTCTTTTATGTCTATTTTGTTTAATGATTTTAATGGCAGAATATAGACACCTTCATGGACAAAAAGACAGGCTCCAGTTAGTTAGCATGGGAGACAGAACATTAGATATGGAATCAAGAAGATCTCACCTGTCTCAGATACCTGTTGGCAGTGACACTGTAAGTTAACTTAACCTCTCTGGGCTAGAGATGTAAATAAACCCAATTCACAGCCATGAAAACTGATCCTCAAAAAAAGAATGCAAATAAGTAGGGAACTGGTAAGCTATTAAGACATTAGGTCACTGTTCTGAAATATATCCTGGGAGAATCTTCAGAAGAAGCTAATCGCAGCAATTTTAATAGAACTGATAATTAAACTAGTCTCTCTTCATTTCATACTCAGCAATCTTCCAAAGAATGTCAATTTTTCACACCCCATAAAGTAGGGCTGCACACTTGTCACATCAAACTGCAAAGGTACAGTTCAAGGAATAGCTCTATTCTCCTCCCTTTTCAAAAAATTGATGATTATCATTTTTTGCCAGTTGCTCCCTAGGTTCAACAATATCTCCTGTTTCTCCTACCACTTGGTACTCTGTTCATGCAACTTGTAGCCACAAAATACAAACATCAGTGCAATCCATCATGTGCTATTAATTAACATTTTCCACTATTTTACTCAGAAGACTGAGATTGATTTTACTCATTTTCTCTTTTTGCTCCTGTCATGTGGAAAGAAAGAAAGGAGCCATCTCTCTCCCCCTCTACCTCTATCTAAAACACATTAGCAATATTCAAGGATCCAAACAGCTCAACTAGCATATATACACTGGTCTAGCAACAGAGAATGACCTAAACCATTAAGTAAGAAATTTAAAACCTGACACTTTCTACTGTCTTTATCTCACTCTGTTTTCCAGTAAGAACAGCACTATACATCTTTTTGCCTTTTGAAGATTTTCCAAAACATAAACAAAGCCTTAGCTTTACTACTGAAATGTTGTTGTTGGTTTTTGTTTTTGTTTTAAATCAGAAAAGTTACTGCAGCTTAGTATTATTACTCCATATATATGAAAATCTATGTATTAGCAGCTGTCAATACAGAGACAAGCACAATATAGAAGCATGACTATAGGAGTCCTCAAAGGCAACATTATAAAAAGAGCTTCCAAGTCAAGCAAGGAAATATGCTAAGGTAGAGAGAGCAGATCTGCATGCATAGGTATTCCATAGTGAAGCAATATGATATTGGGAGCACGAATTTCTCTCTTCTTTAGCTAGATAGCCCCAAGCAATCTCCACGGCAACAGTCTGTAGAGAGATGATGATGCACAGTCTACAGAAGCCGGGAAGAGGAAGGCAGGGGAAGGGAGGAAAGGGTTGAGAAGAAAGAATATATAGCAAAACTGCTCTCTTCTACCCCCTTTCCGGAGAAGTTTATTTCTTAAGAACCTTGCTTAACTGCAACTAGGCTTTGTTAGGGAATACCTTCTTCAATTCAGCAAAAAGGAAATAAAAATTTGGATTAAAAAAACAAGCAAGAAAAAAAGGGAGAGCTCCACCCAATTTAATACTGTTTAAATACAGAAAAGCAGGTAGGTATCAATTACATGACACAAAAGGGATATTTATAGATCATCCTAGCAAACTAATTCATACCGTATAAGACATCATGCTAAAGCTAAAAGAAATGTTTGTGGGCCAAAAAAAAAAATCCCATTAAAATGATAAATATAACCATGAGGACATTGCATACTCATGGGGATGTGGGAAACCCCTGCTGAAAGGTTAGATTTAGAGAGATAGGCAGTAGAGTTCAATGGCAACAGAACTGTACTAGCAAAGAAGCAAAGGTTCTGATTTCCAAGTCTCAGCAATTCCCTAAGGTCACAGGAGAACTAAGTTCTCCAATGACGTAGCAGTTTATCAATAAGCTTTGGGGAGGACAGTGGTATAGTATCAAGCACAATGCATTTGAAGTCCGAGAGCACTAATCTCATTTCTCCTACTATGACCTAGATGCGTCATTCCACCCATGTAAGCTTCCATTTCTTCATCTCAAAATGAGGGAGGTGCTCATTTTTGTTCTTATGCCCTCAGGCTATGGCATGTAAGTTAATAGCTAATGATATCTAACAGCTATCACACAGCTTGTAAGTATCCAAGGCTGGAATTGACTCAGGTCTTCCTGACTGCAGGCCCAGTACTCCACCTACTGTGCCGCCTAGTTATCCGCTTCCAAGTAACTACTCTTAAGTAATAAAGCATTAGACAGAGGATGTCTTTCTTTGGAAAGCCTCAAAGCATGTTACTGACATGACTATGACTCTCTCAGTTCATTACCATTTGACAGATGGCAACACAGAAGTCCAAATATGAAGTGTCTTACCTGAAACAACAGTTACCAGTGGCAGTATGGTAGACAGAACTACTCTCTTCCTGCACCAAGGCTTTTTCCCCTGTACTGATTTCCTCAAAGACTAGAGTTCTTCTGCTAACCTAAGTTCTAGGTCAAACTAAAGTACAACAATGGTACATGGCAAAGAGTTGACATGGGGAACATCAGCTTTTTTCTCACACTCCTTTCAGGGGTTTGCCTCCCTACATCCATACTGTCTAAATAAACCATAGAGGGAAATAACAGAATAAAATTGTTTGGTAGAAGAAAAAATATAGAAAATTATTCATTCTACTAATATCTAGTCTGCTTTGAAATAAAAGTACATGAATGGAATAATTTGTCCAGATGTCATCAGAAGCCAAAAAGCAATCATTATCATTTGACATTTCAAAACTAAATGGATGGCATTACATTTGGTGTGACCAGATGATTCTAAAGGCCTATTGCTGCAGCCAGCAGCAGCACTACCACTACCACAACAAAAAATATCCTTCTAGCTACTAATAAATTATAGACAGGCCATCTCTCAGGGATGATGGGGGCTGCAGCATGAGAATCTATGATGCACAGGCTCAGCATTTTCTCTCCCTCCCCATCACTGGATCAACTGTGGACAAGATGATTACTGGGCCTTCTTTAGCTCTTAAACAAACACATCTCTTTCATGAAGAGCCTCAATACTCATGTCATGAAAGACAAGAGATGGGGAATTATGCTACTGCAAAGAGTTGGATGGTATACAGCTCAAAGACAGACACACCGCAGAAATCAGACATCTAGGATAAAGGGACAAAACTACTAGGAAACCAAGACAGCTGTTTAGACTACTTTTAGGTATCAAGTAGTTTTCATTGAAAATTTGGGTTTTACTATCAAAGGACACTGAACAACACATCCACAGTCTGAGCTCTAAATTTTAACCTCATTGAGACCATTTGTTCCACACACCAAATTAGAGACAGAGTAGAAGCAAGAGCACGGTCTTGTGAAAGCATAAGTTTTGGTTAGCCCTAAGATGTAAAGAGGACAACCTTCCTTTCAGTAAATCCCCGAGAATATCTTGGAAGGAGAGTGTGAGGCTCGTGGCAATTCATCCTGCTACTCCTACCTGCTTGTGCTGGCGGTGCTCTTTTCTGCCAACTCGATCTCCTTCTGTTGCAGGGACAAAATGTAGTTGGAGAGATCTTCAGGGGTCCTGTGGGATAAACACAACAAAGAAAAGGTTAAAAACCCAAATGTGCCATTTGCAGGGGGATCATTGTCAACTGTGTCAAGAACTACAAAATATACCTTAAGGTGACTTCAAAAGTCATTCATGAACAGGGTCATATGTACCCTATTGAAAACACAAAAACTTTAACACATTAAACAATATTTATTTACGACCTTTAAATGAACCTACTCCAGTCTGTCTCTACAAAGCCATGAATTTCATGAAGGCACAAAGTATTCCAGCCATATTCCACACTAGAACAAGGCTTCAAGCAATGCAGCAGAGCTATGGACCACTGGGAAATCATGGCAAAAAAGAAAGGAAAAAACAAAAAACAATACAGCAGGCAGTCGTCAGAAAAGGAGCTTGACATATTAATAAAGAAGTGATTTCTGGCATCCCTTTATCCTTCCTGTTTTTTTCCCACACAATTCCATTCCATGGAGACCACACTCCAGACAATGAGGATTCTTGCTCCTCTGCACACCTTGTGCTCCCCTATTTGGGTGCCTTTGCTTATGTCATTCTCTCCCTCTACATATCCTCTCCAATGTGTGGCATGGGATTGTGGAAAGAGGGCTGGATTTAGTGTAAATAGCTCCACCATTTACTACCTGTGTAACCTCTGCCAAATTACTTAACCTCTCCAGGTTGCAATTCCTCATTTAAAAAATGAAAAATAAATGGGTTTGGATAACCTCTATCATCTCTTCTAGTTCTAAATCTATGATTTACCTGACAAATTCTTTGATTTACCTGACAAATTCTTTTTATTCTTCAAAATCCACAATTTCTCAATTATATACCCTATCCTAAAATAATGTGACACAGTATGTTTGTCTTTTAAACACTGTGTTTATTATCATAGTTATTGGGGTATGCATCACCAAACTAGATAACATGTACTTCTATAAGAAGTACCATTTATTATATCATCTCCCCTCTGTAGGAAGAACCGATAAACTAAGTGAGATATAGGGACATACAAAGAGACAGCACTACAACTGATGGCTACATCATTTGTAAATGAAGGCAGTGACTTTAAAACCAAAGCATAAAGCAAAGAAAGAAGAGAAAGACATTAATATAGTCATTCATGATCACACTTCTGGATAATAATCTTCTTCAGTATCATATTTAAAAAGATTTCCCTAAATATATTTATATAGTTTACATCACAGATTTTCTTATTTCAATGTAAACATATTACTAATAAACATCATGATATGCTAACAACTACAACAACAATAATGCTGGTAGGTTTTGGGGATTACAAGACCAGCAAGATAGCAAAGTAGTCACTTTCCCCATGTCCCTTTAACTTTCTAAACCCCCCCCAAAAAAAAAGAGGAATTATGTGACATATGTAGAAAAATTATAGCTAAATCCAAAGGTCAAAGAAAAGAGAATACTGAAAAGGTAAAATCTTTATGAATTAAAACCAAAGAAGTCTAATCCTTAAAGGGCTGAATCAGCAGCCCTCCCCCACAAGATTCCACACTCCCTGGAAGGACACTTAGAGGGGGCCCCTGGAGGATGCCCAAGACCATAGAGACTGCTGGCACATCTCTCCTTGAGACAATCCATATAACCATGTCTAGAAAAAGGGAGAGACAGGAGAGTTTAAGACATGTTTAAGACACCTCCCGCCACAACCCAATGTAGACACACACACACACACACACACACACACACACACACACACACACGTGTGCACATTTTTTTATTTTTGCTGAGGCAATTGGGGTTAAGTGACTTGCCCAAGGTCACACAGCTACTAATCAAGTGTCTGAGGACAGATTTGAACTCAGGTCTTCCTGACTCCAAGGCTAGAGTTCTACCCACTGTGCCACCTAAATGCCCCCGGAAAACATTTTTAAGAAGTTAAAACACCAAATATTTCAAAAGAAAACCTCCTAATAACAAACAAATGAATCAACAAAGAAATTAAAACTGGACAGTAGAATGAGTACTAAATCCTCAAAGAGAATACAAAGCTCTCCTAATAAACATTACATGTGAAAAAGAACAATTTTAAAAGAAATAGCAAATCCAATGGACTTTCAGAGAGTGTAAATCAACAATAAGAAATTCCAGAATGTTCCAAAAGAGAAATGAAATTCATTAAGGAAGAAATTAAGAGTTTTAAGTCAGAATTTAGATGTCTCAATGTAGCTTTTAAAAAACTCAATTGGGGCAGCTAGGTGGTGCAGTGGATACAACACTGGTCCTGGAGTTAGGAAGACCTGAGAATCCAGTCTAAGACAAGACACTTGACACTTACTAGTTGTGTGATCCTGGCAAAGTCACTGAACCCCAATTGCCTCACAAGAAAAAAAAAAATGACAAAAAACATCAATTAACAGATTCATAAAAACTGAACCCATGATGTAGACTCTCTCTCTCAAGTAATGAGACATTAACAGATCTTAATTAATGAATAAAGCTATTTTTAAGTATTCAATATGTGTAAAGTATTGTACCAAACACAAAGGATACAAAAAGAAAAATATGATCATCCTTGCTCTCAAGGACCTCATACTCTAATGGAGGAGACAAAACACAGAAGGTTTCAGTTGCAAGTCAGATGGAACAACATCTTTAGGGAACAACAGCAAATCAGATGGTAATGCCTCTTCCTTATATGTCATATCCACTGTAAAATCATATCAATTTTATATGTTTATATGTTGATAGTACCAAGGACTTTGGTAACATGAACTTTCATATCTGAGTCTTCAGTAGGTTCAGATTTAACACTTCTAGGTGTAGTTACCAGGCTGCATTGACTCAAGGATTCCTTCCTAAAATAATGACTGAGAGCACTGGGCTAAAAGCCTTTTTATTTGCAAAGTCCTTGGGGTAAGGGTCCTGGGCTATGCCCATCAGGGTCTGAGAGGAGACCATTGTCAATGTGGTGATGATGGTGGTAGAATGACTTGCCTGAACGTTTCTGTTGTGTCTCCCTCAGAGTGCCTTACTGCTTGAACTACACTGGTTTGCTTGCCCTCTCTGAAGAAATCTGTGGATAATTGGTAGAGATAGCTGGTCCCTTTTACATAGGAGCTTATTCCCTACATGATGGCTGTGAGGGCTAAGCTGGAAGCCAAAATGATGATCTAAGGGGTGGTGACAAATACAAGAACACTAATGTAAAAGGAAAGCAGAAAGCTGGGAAACAATTTTTACAGCAAGTGTCTCTGATAAAGGCCTCATTTCTAAAATATAGAGAGAACTCAGTCAAATTTATAAGAATACAAGCCATCCTCCAACTGATAAATGGTCAAAGGATATCAACAAGCAGTTTTCAGAAGAATTTATATATATAACATATATAAAAAATATATATATAAAAAATGCTCTAAATCATTTTTGATTAGAGAAATTAAAACAACTCTGAGACACCACTCACATCTATCAGACTGGCTAAAATGACAATAAAGGAAAATGATAAATGTTGGAGAGGATGTAGAAAAATTGAGACACTAATACACTTGGAGTTGTGAACTGATCCAATCATAATGAAGAAAAATGTAAAACCATGCCCAAAGGGCAACCAAAGTGTGCATATCCTTTGATCCAGCAATACCACTTCCAAGTCTGTATCCCAAAGAGAATATAAAAAATGGAAAAGGACCTACAGATGCAAAAATACTTATAGCACCCCATTTCGTGGTGACAAAATATTGGAAACTGAAGGGATGCCCATCAATTGGGGAATGCCTGAACAAGCTCTGGTACACGAATGCAATGGAATGCTATTGTGCAATAAGAAATGATGAACAGGAAGATTTCAGAAAATCCTAGAAAGACTTGTACAAACTGATGGAAAGCAAAATGAGCAGAACCAGGAAAACATTGTACACAGTATCAGCAACATTATGTGAAGATAATAATGAAACACTCAGCTCTTCTCAGCAACACAGTGATCCAAGACAAGTACAAAGGACTTATGAAGGAAAATTATATTCATATCCAGATAATGAAGGGATGGACTCTGAATGCAAAACAAAGCAATTTTTTACTTACATTACTCTTTCTCATGTTTTTTTTAATCTGTTTCATCTTCCACAACTAATATGGAAATAATTTTTACATGACAGCACTGGTATAAACTATATCAAACTGCCTACCATTTTCCGAAAAGGGGAAGTAAGGGAGAGAGAAAAATTTGGAACTCAAAATCTCGTAAAAATGAATGCTAAAAATTTTCTTGACATGTAACTGGGGAAAAAAATAAAAGATTATTTTTAAAAAATAATATAAGCCTTTTGAGGGCAAGAAGTTGATCTAAAAAAAAGAGCACTAATGCAGAAAAAATATGGCATCACAGAAGTAAAAGATGATAATATTAAAAGACCACATACATTCTGTACAAAACAAAATGATTGCCCTTGAAAACTAGATGCAGGACGATAATCCCTGAATTTAAACAACAAAGCACTAATACAGAGAATCTACAGATCTTCTCCAGAAAAAAAAAATGCTGAATTCAAACTCCTTGACACATAGTCACTGGATTTCACAGACTGAATGAAAACCAACAAGTTTTGTACATGGCCAGAAAAAACTTTAAATGTAAAAGAGAAGAAATTCAAATAACTCAAGATTATTCTATAGCCATAAGAAATCACAGAAAGAATTGGAATACTATATTCCAAAAAGAAAAGGAGCTCCGGATATAACCCAAAACAATATACCCTGCAAAACTGAGCCAAATTGCCAATAAAAAGACAGATATTCCCCCTCAGAAAAGAAAGACTTGAGAATTTCTGAAAAACAAACATATACAGGCAGAACATTTGACTTGGAAACACTCTTAAGGAAAAGAAACATAAGAAAGATAATTAACTACAACTACCAAACAAAGAAGAATTAAGTTGATTGCACCATGTTTAGGGGTTATGAAATAGAAACAGTAATACCGGTCCATGATATAAAATAATAGCAGCTGACATTTACATAGTATTTTAACATTTAGG